AAAAAAAACTATCAGGGCCGAACTGTTGCTGTACAGATTTTTGCTCCTGTATTCTACAGGAAATCCTTCACCTTACAACCGTCCGTTCGAAAGTTACAACACTTGGGAAAAAGAGTCATATGACCAGTAGTGGGTTCCACTTTCTGTCACTACTGGTTCAAAACTGGGAGCGCGCGCATGCACAGAGCATCCCTGATGACGTCCGGGTGGGTGGGCAGAACCTCCTGTTATGGTCGGCCCACAGCCTGCGGAGCTGACAGCGGAGTCGGACAGCGATGAGGCTGAGGAAGAACATGGGCCAGTCCTGGAGGCTGGGGAAGGCCCAGATGGGGGCTCTGCGTCGGAGGCAGAGATGGGGCCAGGGCCATTGGGGAGTGATGTGCGGACTCCGGAGCCTCCAGAGGCTGACAGTAGAGAGGCAGAGGAACAGGAGGAGCCTGTTCCTAGTGCATGTATGAGAAGAGCTACTAGAAGGCAAGAGCAGCTAAAGCAAAGAGGACAACTTGGGCCAAGAGATGATTGGCCCCTCTCATAAAGCTTAAAAGAACAGCTGTCCGACTCCGCTGCCAGCTTCGCAGGCTGCTGGCGGACCACACCACCAAGATGTTTTGAAAATGCCAAGGTATTTGGGGGTAATTTGCATATTTTGCGGATCTGGATGGGGAAAAACAGGCTCCGACTCAACCCTTCCAAGACCGAGTGGCTGTGGCTGCCGACATCCCGATATAGCCAGCTGATACCATTGCTGACTATTGGGGGTGAGTCATTGGCCCCCACGGAGAGGCTCGCAACTTGGGTGTCCTCCTGGACACGCGGCTGTCTTTAGAAGAACATATGACAGCCGTGGCCAGGGGAGCTTTCTATCAGGTTCGCCTGATTCGCCAGTTGCGACCCTTTCTAGATTGGGACTCCTTACGCACAGTCACTCATGCCCTCATCACTTCCCGTCTGGACTACTGTAATGCTCTCTACATGGGGCTCCCCTTGAAGAGCACTCGGAGGCTCCAACTGGTCTAGAATGCGGCCGCGCGGGTGATATTGGGAGAGACATGGCGCTCACATATAACACCCCTCCTACGCGAGCTGCACTGGCTCCCGGTGGTCTTCCGGGTGCGCTTCAAGGTGTTGGTTCTTACCTTTAAACTGCTCCATGGCTTAGGACCTGGGTACCTACGAGACCACCTTCTGCAGCCGATAACCTCCCACCAACCAGCACGCTCCCACAGGGTGGCCCTCCTCAGGGTGCCGTCATTAAAACAATGTCGACTGGTGGTTCCCAGAGAAAGAGCCTTTTCTGTGGGGGCACCTACTCTTTGGAACAGGTTACCCCCAGGGATACGAATGATCCCAGATCTTCGTACTTTCCATCGCGCAGTTAAGACCTTTCTCTTTCACCAAGCCGGGCTGGCATAAATCTCTTCATTGTTCTAAATCTTTATGCTGAAGATTCTTAACCGATGAGCCATTTATAAATAAATAAATAAATAAATAAATAAATAAATAAATAAATAAATAAATAAATAAATAATTCTCACGGGATGCAGGTACAAACAGGATCCAGCTGTTCTGATCCTTATCACCTGTCATTCCCCCCATCCCAATTTCCTATCATGTACACACAAAGCTTTATTGCCCCCTCCTTCTTCCCCCTTTCATCCTTCTTCTTTTTTTCTGGCAGGATACCTGTGGGAGCAGATCTGACACAAAGTCAATAGGGGACACCAGATTCCCTTCACAACCACGGGAGCAGTAGTGGTATTCAGCCGGTTCGGATCAGTTTGAGCGAACCGGTAGTGGCGACCTGGGGGTGGGTCCCGTTTTGCCACATTTTCTAAGCTGCGTGCATGCGCGCCAGCCATGCAATGAGAGCAAAACGCATGCACGGGAGACCACGCGCCCACATTCACATTTTCGGCGCGCGGCGAAACCGGTGGTAAAATTCTGTGAAAGCCACCTCTGCACGTGACTCACTTAACTGGAGGGATTCGCTTAACAACCATGGCAAAAACATCAACATTGGGTCCAAGATACTTGGTTAAGCGAGACAAATTCTTGGAATTCTGGTCCCAATTGTAGTCATGTGAAGGAGCCGCTGAACTGCGTTTGTGACGAAAGTGCTGATTCACAGCCCTGATGTGAAAAAACGAAGACCTATTAACCTCGTAAAATATTGGCCAAGCCTTAAGTTTCTACCGTAATTGGCCTTAATATTCATACATTTCATTCGTACGGTATATAAATTCTTACTGGGTTTATAAAAACTGGTTGAGAATACGAAGTCAGAACCATGGACAGTTCTCTCCAGAGCAAATTCTGGCTGATTTTTACGGATTCTTTTTGGATTCAAACTCTCTTCTTCGATTCGGCAAAATTCCCCAGTGTAATTGATCAGTGCCATTTATAAGGTTGTGAACATTTGCACAACCTCCATAAAAAGAACCTAAATGAGCCAAATGATAAAGAAAAAAAAATTACCATATTTTTCAGAGTTTAAGACGCTCCGGACTATAAGACCTCACTTTTTTGGTGAGGAAAAAAGAAAAAGAAATCTGCCTCTGCCTCCCAGTTGTTTTGCCTCATTGCAGCAAACAGCAAATAGCCTGCTTAACTTTCATTTTCGTTTTCAGCATAGCTTGATTAGCACAAGGGGAAAAAAACCTGTTCCCGGCAATTTACCTCCTTGCAGCAAGCAGCAGAGGCCTGCGCAAAACAGCTGAGAGCAAAACAGCTGAGAGTCAGGAGGCCGATCCAATCAACTTGTGCTAATTAGGCTGTGCTGAAGCTGAAAGGAACTGTTTTTTCTTGCTGTTTGCTTGCAAGGAGGTAAACTGCTGGGAGGCAGAGGCCAAAGGGTGGGGGCCAGTAGATGGGCGGGGCTACATTCGGTGTATAAGACGCACCTAAATTTTCACCCCCTTTTAGGGGAGAAAAAGATGTGTCTTATACTCCGAAAAATACGGTAAGTGAGCTCTGAAAGACTGGGTTAACTGAGGAACACCACAGAAACAAAATATAAGGTAAAGGTAAAGGTTCCCCTCGCACATATGTGCTAGTCGTTCCTGACTCTAGGGGGCGGTGCTCATCTCCGTTTCAAAGTCGAAGAGCCAGCACTGTCCGAAGACGTCTCCATGGTCATGTGGCCGGCATCACTCAACGCCAAAGGCGCACGGAACGCTGTTCCCTTCCCACCAAAGGGGGTCCCTATTTTTCTACTTGCATTTTTTTAATGTGCTTTCGAACTGTTAGGTTGGCAGAAGCTGGGACAAGTCACGGGAGCTCCCCCCGTTACGCGGCAGTAGGGATTCAAACCGCTGAACTGCCGACCTTTTGATCGACAAGCTCAGCGTCTTAGCCACTGAGCCACTACGTCCCCCAAACAAAATATAACAGTCATTAAAACTTTTTTTAAAAAGTGAAAATGGGTAGATTTGGGAAATGGTACCGACCACTTCTGAGTTCAGTTACATCGTACCTATTTTTTAAAAAAAGCTTTAAAATCCATTCCATGTTGGTAAGTACTATCAAAATGGCCCAAAGCAGCTTTTTCAAGAGGCAACTGGATTTTCTTGAAGACGTTTTCAAAGTCCAGTGGCCTCTTGAAAAAGCTGCTTTGGGACAACTATGACCTGGATGACTGAGAATCTCCATAGACACGCAGTATCGAAATATTTCAATACTTCTGTATCAGGCTCTTGTTTTGTGTTACTATTCGTTATCCTATACATACACACACTCTCCCTCTTCCTCTCCCTCCCTCTCTCTCTCTCTCTCCCCCTCCCTTCCTTTCTCTCACCTTAGTAAGACCACACCTAGAGTCCTGCATCCAGTTTTGGTCACCACACTATAAAAAAGATGTTGAGACTCTAGAAAGAGTGCAGAGAAGAGCAACCAGGATGATGAGGGGACTGGAGGCTAAAACATACAATGAACGGTTGCAGGAACTGGACATGGCTAGTCCAATGAAGAGAAGGACTAGGGGAGACATGAGAGCAGTCTTCCAATATTTGAGGGGCTGCCACAGAGAGGAGGAGGGGGGTCAAGCTATTTTCCAAGGCACTAGAAGGCCAGACAAGGAATAATGGATGGAAACTGAACAAGGAGAGATTCAACCTAGAAATAAGGAGAATTTTTCTGACATTGAGAACAATCAACCCATGGAACAGAAGTTGCCTTCAGAAGTTGTGGGAGCTTCATCACTTGAGACTTTCAAGAAGAGATTGGACTGCCATTTGTCAGAAATGGTGTAGGGTCTCCTGCTTGGGTGGGGGGTTGGACTAGATGACCTACAAGGTCCCTTCCAACTCTATTAATCTGAATCTGAAATCCTTACATCACTCCCTCCAGTTCTTTGAATGTGATGCTTTAAATCAAATATAGCTCTCAGCTCAATTTGGGTCCCAGTTTCTATAACTCAGTTGAGGATGTATCTGTGCCATCCCTCCTTACATCTGCCAACGACAACGGGAACAGATGCTTCAGTCTTTTTCAGATCAAACCAATTTCATGCCCTATCTTGATATCAACGTGTACTAAAATTATTTTTTAAAAAACACCAAAAGAAAAGTAAGATTATACTGGATCGTTGGCTAGTTTGGTCCTCCCCAACTCTAGAGTTCTAAAACGAAAGTTCAAGGATGCAGAAGACAGAGAACAGCAAAAGGAGATCATGTCTGTGGACAATCAGGAGGTTGTGAGTTTGATCCTAGGTAGAGGCAGCTGTAGGGTCTCCTGCATGGGCAGGGGGTTGGACTAGATGACCTGCAAGGTCCCTTCCAACTCTGTTAATCTGTTAATCTGATACATACTCTTGTCTGATCCACTTAAGAAGTTCATCCCTTCTCCATCATGTCACCATGATGTAGGCTCTTCTCGTTTGCTCCCAAGCTGACTAGTTTATCTTCAGTCAGGACCAAACATGGCTTGGCTTTGTGACATCACGGAAGGATGTTAAGAATTCTGCTGCCTCCAACTTAAGGAGAGAAACACCATTCTGAAACATATAGAAATCTGGATGGAAAGGGGGCAGCTGAGGGTAGGTTATGCCCTGTCAACTTGAAGCTCAGGGTTGCCTCCAGAGACAATGGATGACGGCGAGGTCCTTAAAAAGAGAGGCTACATTATGGGTATCAACCTCGGAGAGGGTTCGTACGCAAAAGTGAAATCCGCTTATTCAGAACGGTTGAAGTGTAACGTGGCGGTCAAGATCATCGATAAGAAGAAAGCTCCCCGAGACTTCCTGGAGAGGTTTCTCCCACGAGAGATTGAGATGTTGGCCAGGGTGAAGCATCACGCCATTGTCAAGACCTACGAAATCTTCGAGACCTCCGAAGGGAAAGTCTACATCGTCACCGAACTCGGGGTCCAAGGAGACCTGTTGGAGTTCATCAAGAAGAAAGGAGCCATTCCCGAAGAGATTGCCCGTAAGATGTTCAACCAATTAGCCAGCGCCATTAAATACTGCCACGAGTTGGACATCGTCCACCGGGACTTGAAATGCGAGAACTTGCTCCTGGATAAAGAATACAACATCAAATTGACGGATTTTGGCTTCTCCAAACGCCTGTCTCGGGACGACGACGGGAGGGTCATTCTTAGCAAAACCTTCTGTGGGTCTGCTGCCTACGCGGCTCCCGAAGTGCTCCAGGGCATCCCCTACCAGCCCAAGGTTTACGACATCTGGAGCATGGGCGTCGTGCTGTTCATCATGGTCTGCGGCTCCATGCCTTACGACGAGTCCAACATTAAAAAAATGCTCAAGCTACAGAAAGAGCACAGAGTCCACTTTCCCCGGTCCAAAATCCTATCGGTGGAATGCAAGGACCTCATCTACCATATGCTTCAGCCCGACGTGACTCGACGGCTCTGCATCGACGAGGTTTTGATGCACGTCTGGCTGCAGGAACCCAAAGCCGTTTCAGACTCCGTGCTGACCAAATCAGGCGAATGCTCGCAGCATCAGAACCAGATCCGGTCCCTCTTCGGAAAGGAAAGCGTTTCGCAGCCTTCGGATAACGAACAAGTGAAACAAGAAATACGGCACGAGGATCTCGAGAACCTAGACAATCTCTCTGAGCAGATACAAAGGACTTCCCTCTGAAAGGAAGACGTCCATTCGATGTTATCTCTCCCTTCCCCCACAAAAAAAACAAAATTGGTTTCCAAGACTGCCAAACTCAATTTATTTCTTTTAAAGGGCTATGTTCTGGACGGGTTTTGAAAAAGAGACGAAGGGTTGGATGGGGCAACAGGAATGTTTGAAGCCCTTTCACGTTATTTTGGAAGATCCAGGACCTCTAACATCTCCATATTTCTATATTTCTTACTTGCACAAAATCGGAACGAGTTTTCCCCCCTCGATTAAATCTTCTCCATAGGAAAGATTATAGACAGACCCGTGGATTGGAAGCGGGGGGGACGTGAATTTTCGGAACCGTGGGGTCTCTCTAAAATTCGTAACTGGTGTTTATGCTACCATAAAATCTACTCTATCACATCTAAGAGGCTGAAGAACCGTCTGTTATAGCATCAGCCAATGTCTTGTGCTTTTTTGGGGTGTGGGGGGGGCGGGGCGAGCGGGATTTACAACTTTCATTTAGCAGCTTCTGTCAAAACCAACCCCCCCCCCCAAAAAAAGCCTCAAGGTATGTAAATGGCCTCTGCGTGATTGTTTTAAAACGTACATATAAAATGGTAAAGCCTCCCTTGAGTCCAGCTTGGCTCCTGGAGGTTTCATTTGTTGCTTTCTTAGCAACCATGCAGAAAAGTGTGATCGGCTGCGTTTTCTTTTTAATTTCTCAGTCTGGTTTCTGAAAACATTTGGCACCCTACTCGTTTTTTTACTCCATTAGCAGGCCATATACAATTCCTCCTCCTCCTTCTCTTAGTCCTTCTCCCTCTCCTCTTTCTCCTCCTTCTCTTCTTAGTCCTTCTCCTTCTCCTCTTCCTTCTCCTCCTTCTCCTGTCCTTCTGCTCCTCCTCCTCTTCCTTCTCCTCCTCCTCTTTTTAGTCATTCTCCTCCTTCTCCTCTTCTTAGTCCTTCTCCTCCATCTCTTCATCTTTCTCCTCCTTCTCTTCGGAGTCCTTCTCCTTCTCATCTTTCTCCTCCTTCTCTTCGGAGTCCTTCTCCTTCTCATCTTTCTCCTCTCTTCTTAGTCCTTCTCCTTCTCCATCTCTTCCTTCTCCTCCTTCTCTTCCTTCTTTCTCCTTCTCTTCTCCTCCTTCTCTTCTCTTCCTCCTCCTCTACTTTCTCCTTCTCCATCTCCTCCTCCTCTTCCTCCTCTTAATCCTTCTCCTCCATCTCTTCCTCCTTTCTCCTCCTTCTCTTCTTAGTCCTTCTCCTCCATCTCTTCATCTTTCTCCATCTCTTCTTAGTACTTCTCCTCCATCTCTTCATCTTTCTCCTCCATCTCTTCTTAGTCCTTCTCCTCCTCCATCTCCTCCTCTTCTTAGTCCTTCTCCCCGTCCGTCTCCCTCTTCCTCATTATCAGTCTGGCTACCTGTGCTTCTTTGCTCATGATCGTTATTATATTTTTATCCTGCCTTTTTAATACACAAGTCAAGGTAGCAAATTTATCTAATACTCCTATTATTATGATGTCTTCTCTCAAAATTCAATAGAAATGTGGGAAGGCAGAGAGATACCCAAGCTAGTATAAATAGAATAAGGAAAAGCATCCAGGCTGGGGGATTCTGGGAGTTGAAGTCCACAAGTTTTAAAGCGATCGTCCCAAAGGTGCATATTCAAAAGGCGACTGGGCTTCCTTTCTTTTTCCTTGAAGACGTTTCACTTCTCATCAAGAAGCTTGTTCAGTTCTGGCTTGAACAGTGGAGGATGGATGGATTTGTATTCTTTGCAGTCATCTGGTCGTTAGCGCTCCCTCTGAGAGTCCTTCCATCCTCCACCAAACAGTCAGAACTGAAGAAGCTTCTTGGATGAGAAGTGAAATATTTTCAAGTGGAAAAAAAAAACAAGACAGTTTGCCTTTTTGAAAAAGCACCTTTGGGACAACCATGTCCTGGACGACTGAGACTCTCCAGAGACTTTTAAAGGAGTCAGTTTGAGAACCACTGGGTTACCCCTTCCTTCCCAACAGCATGTTACCAATACGAACAGTGGCTCCATTGCCTGGGAAAAACACCACAGAAATTCAGGCACTTCATCTGGGGCTGACCAAAGAGAAGACGAAGTTGGTGTCACTGCATGATTTTTGCAAGACTGAAAGGCAATTTGTGAAGACACGCCGCCACACCAGATGATGCAAGGTCTGAGAAATGTATGCAATATAAATGGAGTTTGTTTATTCGAATTTAAGTGCAAAAAAATGGACATAAGTCCCCCTTTACTTCGGCCACTAAATGAACTGTTACAAGTCAAGGACTACTTGCATAACAGACTCGCTGATCAGACGCAGCATGAAAGTTTGCACCCATTGTGAGCTAATCTTTCTCCTTCAGTGTTATTCGGTATTAAAAAGATATTTTTTGTGGTCCTGGAGATAGCCCAGAATCATGAATGCTGATGTCCATTGGAGGCTCGCCCATTATCTACTACTCTTTCAAAATCATCTGAATTTGTGGTCATGTACCATGATGCCAGTCCCAACGATGCATATTAAAAAAATTCCTTTTACACTTTTATTTGTCTGGGTTCATGGCTCATGCAATCCGCCCCTCCCACCCCTCAAAAAAACAGGCATGATTTATTTGCAATTTTAATGGAAGCAGAGACCCTTGGAAAAAGTAACTCGATGAGGATAATGTATTTCTTTCATCTTCACCTAAAGGAACTATAGTTGCTTAAAGATCACAAGGGATGAAATGGTGTATAGGATTCCCTGCTTAAGCATGGAGTTGGACTAGAAGACCTCCAAGGTCCCTTCAAGCTGTCATTCTGTTTTGTTGTTAATGTTTGTCACAAATTCGAGGGACTTTTAAAATCTGGGGTATTATTTCAGAATAATTTAACAATGAAGATTAGCGCTTATTTCATCAATTCTTCTCAGAATTTATAAGCAAGCCAAATTAAATCTTGAGAAGGTAATTCAGAGTTTGAGCAAATAAGGAAAAGGAAAGGTTTCCCTCACACATATGTTCTAGTCGTTCCCGACTCTAGGGGGCAGTGCTCATTTCCATTTCAAAGCCAAAGAGCCAGCGCTGTCCGAAGATGTCTCCATGGTCATGTGGCCGGCATGACTCAGCGCCAAAGGCGCACGGAACGCTGTTACCTTCCCACCAAAGGTGGTCCCTATTTTTCCTACTTGCGATTTTTTTTTACGTGCTTTCAAACTGCTAGGTTGGCAGAAGCTGGGACAAGTCACAGGAGCTCACCCCGTTACGCGGCACTAGGGATTCGAACTGCTGAACTGCCGACCTTTCGATCGACAAGCTCAGCGTCTTAGCCACTGAGCTCCCCACCATTATAAACCAATCAATTAAACAGCAAACTTTAAAAAGCCAATTTGCAGGAAATCCAGATATTTTCACACAGGTCATTGCAGTGTCGTTCTCTTTAGAGTACACCAGAATTTAAAAGCAAGCAAAAAAAAGCATGGAATGAGATCTTCTTTAAAATCTCTGTGAACGTTTAAAGATGGCTTATCTCAATGAGGCCGAGCAACAGTGCTCCTGCCATTGGCTTGGAGATTATATGGGTCCCAGCAACAGAGCCCAAGTATTTCTCTCTTCTTTAACTATAACAGACTATAACAGAATAACTGTTGGAAAGGACCTTGGAGGTCCTCTAATCCTCCTCAGGTAGGAAACCCTCCACCATTTCAGACAAATGGTTGTCCAATCTCTTTTTAAAAACTTCCAGTGTTGGAGCACCCACAAGTTCTGGAGGCAAATTGTTCCACTGATTAATTGTTCTGTCAGGAAAGTTCTCCTTAGTTCTAGGTTGCTTCTCTTCTTGGTTAGTTTGCATCTCTTGCTTCTTGTCCTGCCTTCAGGTGCTTTGGAGAAGAGCTGGACCCCCTCTTCTTTGTGGCAGCCCCTCAAATATTGGAACACTGCTATCATGTCACCCCGGGTCCTTTTCATTAGACAGACCCAATTCCTGCAACCGTTCTTCGTATGTTTTAGCCGCCAGTCCCCTCATCATCTTCGTTGCTCTTTCTCTGCACTCTTTCTAGAGTCTCCACATCTTTTTCACATCGTGGAGACCAAAACTGGATGCAGGATTCCAAGTGTGGCCTTACCAAGGCATTAACACTTTCACATGATCTTGATCCTATCCTTCTCTTAATGCAGCCTAGGATTGTGTTGGGGTGTGTGGTTTTTTTTGGCAGCTGCAGGACACTTCTCGCTCATATTTAAGCAATTGTTCACTAGGACTCCAAGTTGCAGTTACTACTATTGAGCCAGGTACCACCATCCATGACAAGAAGGCGAACCTTCTTGGCATGGAGAGCCTTGGTAGTACAGGGGTTTAAGGCACCCTGTTATTAAGGTGGTTATTAAGACCAGCTGCCTGCAATTACTGCAGGGTTCGAATCTCACCAAGGCTCAAGGCTGACTCAGCCTTCCATCCTTTCTAAGGTAGGTAAATTGAGGACCCAGTTTGTGGGGGCAATAAGCTGACTTTGTATAAATGTACAAAAGGATGAAGGCTATTGCTTAGCGCATTGTAAGCCGCCCTGAGTCTTCGGAGAAGGGCGGCATATAAATCAAATTTAAAAAAAAAAAAATGGGAGCGTGCGCGCGCATGCCAGAAACTGAAAGAGCAGCCGCCCGGCGCACATGTGCAGGCCGGGAGGCTTCTCTTCCGGTTTCTGGCACATACATGCATACCGCCCACCCAGTATCCTGGTTTCTGGTGCGCATGGCACGCGTGAAGATCAGCTGCCCGGTGCACATGCGTGCGCCGGGAAGGTGATCTTCTGGTTTTCGGCGCTCCTGCATCAGCTGGCCAGCACGCTGGAACCCAGAACAGCAACAGGCAACAGCTCGTGTGCTGGGAGAGATGGCTGTGTGTGCCACTTCCAGCACATGTGCCATAGGTTCACCATCCCGGACCTATACTATACCTATACGTTTGGTTTTTCTTGCCCCAGTGTAAAACCTTACTTTTCTCTACATTTAATTTCATTTTAGGGCACAATGTTCAAGTCTGCAGAGATCCTTCTGGATATTGAGACTATTTTCTGGAGTATTGGCTATTCCTGCCAGCTTGGTATCATCTGCAAATCTCATGAGGCCTGCTTCCAGGGGGGAAATGCTCCCGGTTCGGATCGGATCGCCCGATCCGGTAGCGATGGCGGCGGGTGGTTCGGAGAACCGGTAGCAAAAATCGCTGTCCACCCCCTATGCCCAGCTGAGTTGCCTGATCGTCAGACGCTTTTTTTTCTTTTAAAAGCCAAAAAAAAAAATGCTTTTAAAAGTAAAAAAAAAAAAAAAGCCTCTGCCGATCAGGCAACTCAGCTGGGATCGTCAGAGGCTTTTAAAAGCATTTTTTTTTTTTACAACCTCTTCGGCCGAAGAGGTTGTTAGAAAAAATGCTTTTAAAAGTTTTTTTTAAAAAAAGTTGGCCAAGCCCACCCAGTCACATTACCCCCAGCACCAAGCCACGCCCACAGAACCGGTAGTAACAAATTTTACATTTCACCACTGAAATCCCCTCGTCCCAATGAGGCCGAGCAAGAATGCTCTTGCCATTGGCTTAGAGGTTCCCCCGGTCCAAGCAACGGAGATCCATTCGCCCAGTATTTCTCTCGGCTTTATGAGGTCACATGGAAACAGCATCCTTTAAACAATGCCCAAAGTTCCATTCCAATCAGCCTCCAAGGACTTCCACAGCAGGAAACGGATCATCCCCCGATGACCACACGCCATGGAACAGACACTCAATGGCTGAACGCATACGTCAACCATGTGACCAAACTTCTCATAACCACAGCCTACAGCATCATGGACGATGCTGCTATCCTTAAAAAGAGAGGCTACATCATGGGCGCGAATTTAGGGGAAGGATCCTACGCCAAAGTGAAATCTGCCTACTCGGAACGGTTGAAGTTCGATGTAGCTATCAAAATCATCGACCGGAAGAAAGCGCCTCCGGATTTTTTGGAGCGGTTCCTCCCGAGAGAAATCGACATCTTGGCCAAAGTCAACCACCACTCCATCATCAAAACCTACGAGATCTTCGAGACCTCCAACGGCAAAGTCTACATCGTGATGGAGCTCGGCATCCAGGGCGACTTGCTGGAATTCATCAAGCTGAAAGGGGAGATGCCCGAAGACATCGCTCGCAAGATGTTCCGTCAACTGTGCACCGCCATTAAATACTGCCACGACACCGACATCGTGCATCGGGATTTGAAATGCGAAAACCTTCTACTCGACAAAGATTACCACATTAAACTTTCGGACTTTGGTTTCGCCAAACGGCTGGTACGGGACGAAGACGGCAAAGTGATTTACAGCAAAACTTTCTGCGGGTCGGCTGCTTACGCCGCCCCGGAGGTCTTGCAGGGAATCCCTTACGAGCCCAAAATTTACGACATGTGGAGCCTGGGGGTTATCCTCTACATCATGGTCTGTGGCTCCATGCCTTACGATGACTCGAACATCCGGAAAATGTTACGCTTGCAGAAGGAGCACAGGGTGCATTTCCCCAAGTCCAAAAACCTGACCATCGAATGCAAAGATCTCATTTATCGCATGCTTCAACCCGATGTGTCAAGACGGTTGCGCATCGAAGAGGTTTTAAGTCACATATGGATGCAGCCCGGCAAAATCAGAGCGTTGTCGGCCACGTCCGTCGGGAAGAACGGAGAGAGTTCGCGCAGCACGGCCGAGCAAAAGTCGGAGCACCGAACCGAACGGGAGAAGAACAGCAAAAGCGAATCCAAACAGACTATCTCCACCGTAGCTCCTCGGCTGGAAGCGGTGGAAGAAGTGGAGGAGGTCATCGAAGGAGAGAAGCGCGACGAAGAAGTGGAGAAGATTGCAGAAGAGTTCGAAAGTAACCTTTGACGTTCGACGGACGCCCTCGCCCCAAAGCAGCAAGACCCCTCGCGTAAGAGGTAGCCCAGTTAACTGACTGGAGAGAGCGGTGTGTGGAATAAAGTTAAGAGCTAAGCCGGAAGACGCGATCTGAAACGAAAGGCCACATACTGAACAAGCCTTTCTGAATCAGCAGCTTATTGTAGGCTAAAAGGCCGTTTTATTAAATATTTTTTTAAATGGATTAAAAACACTGGGCTGTAGCTGGCAACTCCGGGGATGAATCTTACCCAGACGTGCAGAAGGCAGGAAGACGTGGTTCAACTCCAGGAATGGGACAACTCTCCATGGCCAGAGGACAATTCAATAATTCAATTTAATGGTGTGGTGTTTTTTTTTTTTAAATTAAAACGTATTTTAATTTTCGTCAATTCACATTTTGTTTTGTCCCTCCTTTGCCCTCCTTGCTTTGATGATGCTATAGCACCGTTTTCTTTGATATTTAGGGTGAACTCTGGTCCCGCGGCGAGTTGGCCTGAGGAGAATCAGCCATGGTATTCGTAGGTGCTCCGTCACTGGCGGTTTTAAAGAAGAAATTGGACAGCCACCTATCTGAAATTGTAGAGGGCTGTGATGGTGAACCTATGGCACGTGTGCCAGAGATTGCACACAGAGCCCTCGCTGTGGGCATGCATGCTATTGCCAATTGCTCTTCTGATTCCTGGTGCGCCAGCTGGTATTCGCGTGTGCCGAGCACTGACCAACTGGCCTTTGGATTTCCGGTGGGCATGCTTTGCGTACGCCGGAGCGCTGGAAACCCGAAAACCAGCTGGCTGCTGCTCATGCACTCACTGGCCAATTGGGGTTCAAGTTTCCGGCGCTCTGGTGCATGCACCCACACATGCATGCGCATTCCGGTTTGGCCACTCAGTGCCGAAAAGGTTCGCCATCACTGGTATAGGGTCTCCTGCTTGAGCAGGGGGTTGGACTAGAAGACTTCCAAGGTCCCTCGCTGTTCTATTCTGATTGAAATACACCGCACCCATTATGAAAGCCCCATTCACAAGAGATTCATAAGCTTAATTGGATTTGGTTTAGATCCTGTGACTTCTAACAGCAAGGGCATAGAATTCCTTCCAGTTTCTAGCCAAGGGTGGGGGGAAAATGGTTCACTTAATGGCCAAAGTTGTTGCTTAATGCGTGCTGCAAAAAAAATGTCAAAAAATCGGATCTGGTCTTGTGGCCCATTAGCGGCCTGTGCAGCTCGTAGCTGATTCCGACAGCGAGGAGGCTGGTGTGGTGCTGCGCCAGCAGACTGTGCAGCTGGCACACGAGTCGGACAGTGAGGAGGCTGGAGAAGATGTGGTGCCAGAGGCGGGGATTCAGCCAGGGCCTTCAGAACCTCCAGAAGCTTCCATGGGTGAAGAGGAAGAAGAGGAGAAGCCTCTTCTCGATGCACGGGTGCATAGAGCTGCCAAAAGGCAGGAGTGGCTCCTCAGGAGGAGGTCTCCTCGAGAGTAAGGCTTGGGGCTAATTGGCCACTCCCTTAGCCTATTTAAGGAAGGACGACGACTGAAGCAATTTGCAGGGAACAACTTCGTTCACTCTCCTTCGTGTCCTGATCTTAGTTCTCTTATCAGTTTCCTGCAAATTGCTTCTGGGCTTTCTGCCAACCATAGTAAGGTTACGATTATTTATTCTTTGGATTCTTGTACGCTGTTAAGAAAGTTAATTAACAGCCTTTATTTGAAAAAAGACTGATTTAATTTAGTAAACTAAGGTTTGTACAGACTGTGTGTGTGCTGCGTTCTTTGGGGTCCGTAGCTGGGGCAGAACATCTGGTCACATGAGGCCTTGGCTTACAATCGCAACAAATTACAATCTTAATTCTGGGGCTACCTGGGTAGTCGACCACCAATTGAGCCCAACATTTCTGTTGCCAGGCAACAGCTGTTAAGTGAGTTTTGCTCCATTTTATGACCTTTCTTGCTGTAGTTGTTAAATTAGTAATACAGACGTTACGTGAATCTGGCTTCTCCATTAACTTTGCTTATCAGAAGGCCGCCAAAGGGGACAACACAACCCAAGTGTCTGAACGTTGATCCCATGACCCTGATGAATGCCGCGACTGTCGTTAAGTGTGAAAAATAAGTCATTTTTTTTCAGCGTCGTTCAAACTGTCACTGAACAAACTGTTGTTAAGTCGAGGACTACCTGAACAGGCAGACGTTCAAAAGGGATCTATCCCAATCCCTAGCTGCCGGCGTTCGTGTGCCACAAGAGCGGGGGATCTACTAAATTCAAACAGATTTGCTTCCAGGAAAATAACAACAATCCAAAGAACAGATGTGCAATCTTTTGTTCGTACTTTTAACACAGAGTGTAGTCTTTGTACTGCTTCAACAAGAGTCAAACGAGGACACTGTACGACTTCCTTTTTAATTTTTATATTAACGAACTTATCCAAGGGAACTGATCAAATCCACTTTCCCTCTCTGGCTCGCAATTCTCTTTTGCTGTCTTATATTTACTGAAACCCAAAGAGGCCTCCTAGGAGATCTTTGCCCATCAGAGCGAAATACCACAAAGCAACCACTCAAAAACTAAAATGTGGAATTTATTCAGTGTAGTGTCAGTCGTCCTCATCCCTAGAATATCGGCCCCGTTCAAAAACTGAGTACATTAAAAGTGTTATGGCCCGCCAGCGGGTCAGCAGAGCTGGACAGTGAAGAGATTGGGGAGGAATGTGGGCCAGTCCTGGAGTCTGGGGAAGGCTCGGACGAGCGCTCTGAGTTGGAAGCAGAGAGGGGGCCAAGGCCATCTGGTAGTTCTTTGCTGCCTCCGGAGTCTCCGGAGTCTGACATCAGTGAGGCAGAAGAACAGCGGGAGCCTGTTCCCAGTGTGCACATGCGCAGAGCTGCCAGGAGACAGGAACAATTAAGAAAACAGGGTCGACTTGGGAGTAAGGCTTGGAGATGATTGGCCCCTCCCATAAGACATAAAAGAGGAGCGAACGGGATGTGAGCTTTTGCAGGAAGCTATAAGTTCATCTGGCCGATTCGAGATTTGAAAGTTCTGTTTGTGACTCTGTGCCAAGTTTGGCCTTGCCCTGCGGCTGGAAATTAGCTCTCTGGCAGCGTTCCACGTGAGATAGGTGGGTGTTGATAACCTTCCTCTGAAAGACTGTTTATCAAGTCTTGCGGACTGTAAATGAAAGTAATTTACAACCGTATGAATTAAAGAGGTTTTCCGGGACTACGTTTGTGCTGTTTAATTTCTAAGAAAGCCTAGGTCAGGACAAAAAGGCAGCTTTATATCTAGGTGTTTATTCTCAGTCCTTCCATCGAAGAAGTTCGATTTCTTCATTTTTAAAGAGGCAGACATAAAAATTCTCCAAGCCGGTAAGGAGGAGGATAAGCAAATTATTCAAAGCCAAAAGAATGGAGTCTCCTTGAATAGCAACGATAGCTGCAAGAGATCCAGCTTGCTGTGTTTTTCACCAACTCGGCTATACGAGTTTTTAATGTTTTTTTTCTCTCCCGCTGGAGTCAATCTTATATAATTAAAAGGTAAAGATTCCCCTCGCGCATATGTGCTAGTCGTTCCCGACTCTAGGGGGCGGTGCTCATCTCCGTTTCAAAACCGAAGAGCCAGCGCTGTCCGAAGATGTCTCCGTGGTCATGTGGCCGGCATGACTCAGCCAAAGGCACATGGAACGTTGTTCCCTTCACACCAAAAGGGGGTCCCTATTTTTCTACTCGCATTTTTTTTTTACGTGCTTTCGAACTGCTAGGTTGGCAAAAGCTGGGACAAGTCACGGGAGCTCCCCCATTACGCGGCACGAGGGATTCGAACCGCTGAACTGCCGACCTTTCGATCAACAAGCTCAGCACCTTAGCCACTGAGCCACCACGTCCCTCTCATATATAATTGCTTATATAATTGCTGCCCCCTTTTCAGTATCTCAGTTTGGCTTTGAAATTTTCTTAGCAGACTTTCAGAAATCTTGCCCGGCTTTAAATATCTTTTTTATTTTTCTTTAGGATCCAAATACAGGAGGCCATCAATAACGCTTCTCAAAGCAAGATTAAGTTAGACGTGATCAACATTATTCCGACCCATGTTTTAGAGCCCGTTAAGGTTTTGAAACCCGAAATATTCCCTGCTTTTGATGCATAAGCAAGCCTCTCAGGATCTCTATAGGAGAAGAATGAAGGAATAAATTTGCTTTTATAAAGTAAATTCTTTCTCAACTCCCAGGCCAAGAGAAATATCCCAGGCCTTTGGTCAGTCACTAAGCTGAGAACCTGCTGCCAAGTTTAACCAGGTGCGGACACGTTGCCAGCTGCACCAGGCCACCAAGATGCCAGGGTAGCAACATACAACATCCCTAACTGGAAACTAGTTTGTCCTCTCTCTCTCTCTCTCTTTTTCTCTCTCTCCCTTTCTTTCTCCCACTCTTCCTTTTTCTCTCCTTCTCTCCCCTCTCCCTCTTTTTCTTTCTCCATTTCTTTTTCTCTCCCCCTTCTTTCTTTCTTTTTCCTCTCTCCCCCACTCTTTCTCCCCTTTTTCTCTTCCCTTTCTTTTTCTCTCATTCTCTCCCCACTCCTTTTTCTCTTCCCACTTTCTTTCTTTCTCCCTTTCTTTTTCCCCCTCTCCCTTTTTCTTTCTCCCCTTTTTCTCTCCCTTTCTTTATCTCATTCTCTGCCCCCTCTCCCTTCCCTTTTTTCTCTTCCCACTCTTTCTCTCTTCTTTCTTTCTCCCCTTTCTTTCTTTCTTTCTCCCTTTTTCTCTCCTCTTCCCCCTCCCTTTTTTCTCCCCTTTCTCTCTCCCCTCTCTTTCTCTTTTCCCTGTCTCCCCCACTCTCTCTTTTTCTCTCTCTCTCCCCCCTTTCTTTCTCTCATTTTCTCCCCTCTCTCTCCCCCCACCCCATCCCCCGAGTCTTTCACCTCGCAACAATAGGTGCCAGAGCCACACCACGATCCAGATTCCTGCCGGGTCTTGAGGTGAAGTCTGTCTTTAATCAATGAAGAAGAGAGCACCCCGACGCAAACCAGCAAACGGCGTTCAAAAGGGCCGGTGCAGTGCAAGCAGTGCAGGATTACCGTCTTCCTGGCCAATCGATCCAAAAGTTTCAACCAATTTTCAACTCAAAAGGCCTTACTTTCCATCCGCTCCCTTCTCACTGGCTAGCCAGGATTAGGGACAAACCCAGGACTTCAAAGGCAGGAACGATCCTGAACCCCGAGCAAACGTCTCCTGGTGCTTTTGATCAACGGTGGGCTTCGGCGGTTTTGGTATATTTTGGCCACTTCTGAGCTTCCCCCCTGACCCCCAACAAGAGCACAGGGTCAAAAGAAGTCCGACGCTTTACGTCTTTTGGGCAGCTGCAACAGGTTGTCCGTAATAGAGGTGGGATCCTGAGCCACGGGGGT